TCCACAGACGCTGCCAGACCTGCTGAGCTTTTCCAGCAACTTTGTTTTTGAACTTGAAAGAAATGTTCCCTTTTAAGTAACAGTAAAAGAAGCCTGCAAATATTAAAAATCTGATTTTTAAAATGGAAAATGGTGGGGAATGCTTGAGGAAAAACGACATCTGGAAGAGTGAAAGAGAGAGAAATGTTAATAAAGTGGGGACCCAAATGGGGTGACAAGCTGAAATTTGGATCCCTGCTGCGGATCCATCCACACCCCTGCCCCTGCCCCCCCACCGTTCCCGTTCCCCCACCTGTTTTCATGGAGCAGGTTCATCTGATTTTTCAGCCTTAATGAGGTCATGGTGGGAGAAAGTTTATAGTTTGGGAAGCACCAGTTTAGGGTTTGAATTCTGATGGGAAAGTTAAGAAGAAAAAAGTGACCAACCTGCCTTGTCAGATTCTAATGAACTTTCACTGCTTCCAGCCTTTTCTGACTTTTCCATTTAATTCAAACTAGGAGTACAGACCTGCAAATGTGCTGTGCAGTTTTGTCAAACTTTTCGTTATGGTCAAAATTTATATTTGTGGAAGGGTGAAAGTGATGGTGACTTTTTTGAGCACCTACGACAGCGGTAGTTCAGAATAATTGGGACTCACTTGGTTTACATGTTTACAATTTCTTCTTTTTTTTTAAAAAAAATTGGAACAACAGGTTGCAATAAAAATCATCGACAAGTCTCAACTGGATGCTGTGAACTTGGAGAAGATCTACAGAGAAGTACAGATCATGAAGCTTCTGGATCATCCACACATCATCAAACTCTATCAGGTACAGCACATCTAAATGTATCGCTGCTAATGCTATTGGAATGGTCACCCACTCTTCCTCTTGGGAGAAATTTCTGTGACAGAGAAATTTGTTCTATTCCCTCTAAAACCCTTTGGAAAAGATGGAAATTGATGGTCAAAATTCCAAGCGATTAGAATTGTGTAAAATTGTTTTTAACTGGTTCTTGTATCTGGAACATTTTATTACTTTCATGAATGACATATGAACAGGAGAGTGACTATTCAGCCCTTGTTTTGCTATTCACTCAAATTACAGTTAGTCCGAGTTGTTATTTTAATTCCATTTACTGGTTTTGTTCCTCAACCTTTTCATGAATGTATTAACTGATCTCTTCAAGGCTTCAATTGACATCCTCCCTCTACAATTCTTTTTGGAAGTGAGAGTCCAATTAGTTAACTTCTGCACACCCCATTCTTGCGAGTTTGTACAGTGCACCACCCTTCCCATCTCATTTCAAAGCCAAGCGTATACTTCCAGCCATGCGGTTCCCAGTTCAGGGACGTTGTACTGTAAAGGGCTCTAATCAGAGCAATCAATGGGGGAGCTTGTGGAGTTCAATGAATGGGAATTTGTTCACTTGCAAGAGCGTAATTCAATTCAGAAAACGTTTGTTCCATTACCTGAAAAAGGTCTGATGCTATGTTCCTATTCTTCTGTAGGTTTGTAACTTACCTAGACTGCCTTGGATTTGGAGTATACGCTAGCTGTACATGATTGGTCTTATATTTGGCTTTTTGCTACCATTATACATTACTATGTTTGTAAAAGTAAATATCTGCCAAGATGATTTACAGGCAAGGTGAGGACCTGAGTAGGAAATGGGAAGGAGAAATTTTGAGGCAAGTGACCGAAAGTGTGACTAAAAAGGTTAAGAATGGATCAAAGTATTTAAAATATGGGTTTAAAAATAAAATTGATATGCCAATTACAATCACCTGCAAAGTTTGCAATAGTTGTGGGTGTACTGAAGCTGAAGGAATTGAGAGAGACTGAGACTTATCTGACAAGTTTGATCTAATTGCTGATTTGTGGTTCATAGTTTGTGTCAATCCAAATTCCAAGCGACCAAAACTTGCCAATGTTGCTATCGCACAATCTTACAGCATGGAAAGAGACCATTTGACCTGTGTCAGGTATTTGAAAGAGCTGTCTGATGAGTATCACTGTTCTCATCCTTGCATGTTTTTCTCTTTTCATGTTTATTTATCCAATTCCCATTTGCAATCTATTATTAAATCTATCATCCTTTCAGGTAATGCATTCCAGATCCTGAAAACTCACTACATTTAAAACAATCTCTTTGACTCATTTGCTGATTGTCTGTCTTTAAAATGGCACTCTCTTATTTACCAGCTGTCTTTCTAGTGGGAACTGATTTTTTCCTTTTCTTTTGTCTGTCAAAATCTCATTTAGTTGTGAATATTGCAGCTACATCTCCCCAGTAGCTTTTCTGCACTAAGGAGAACAATTCCAGCTTCTCCACGTGAACGGAAATCCTTCATCCTTGGCATCTCTTCAGTAACTTTTCTGTTCTTTCTCCTGAGGTCATGACATCCTTTCCAAAATGAGGTGACCAGAATTGGACACAATGCTCCAGCTGAGGCCTAACCAGTAATTTGTAATGGTTTATAATAACTCTATTGTTTAATCTCCTGTCTTTCTTTTAATTTTTTCCTGTTTCATGACCAGGCTATTCAATGTGTATTCTATTTGTAAGATTGTAGAAGGATACCTCTTTTGTCCAGAGCATGGTGTTGCTGTTAGTAACGGTGCTATTTTCCATATAAAATTGATCATGTAATTATTCCATCAGTTGATGGCTGTTAAATTGCAGAGATGTATGTAACAACTTTTGAATGGATATTGCCTTTTTAAGATTGTGCCTATCGATCTTTTTTATTTTGGAGAATAGAGCCAAATATGTGATGCTTACAGGCATGAAGAATTCCGACACACTCATCTGATTTAGACTATCAGCTACATTTGTATGTTAACTTAATATTTAACGTATCAGATGTCTTGCATATGCAACACTTCCTATACATTTGCCTGTAGAATAAAACAGATTGGGACTTTTTTCAATTGTCTTGAAATTTTGAGTCAATTTGAAAACACTCCACTATAATCTATGAATGCAGATTAGTTTTGGAACCAAACACAACAGTCTCCCACCAATTGTGTTATTTTATTGTCAACATCTCTGATGTCCACCACAACCTCTTCCTTTGAGAGCAATGCCAAAACACATTCAGCAGTAAACAAATCCTTCCTTTCATGGAGAACATGTCCCATTAACCATCATTGAGAGCCTTTTGGAGTCCTTTTCTCCTTGGATCTTGTGCTGTCTAATTTCTAACAGATCCCCATGCATGGCACTTGGGATGTGACAGAGTCCTCCCTTATTATGAATCAGGCACCTGAAATTGTCAAAATGGTAAGAGAAGCGAATGAATTTAAAGTCTGCACAGGAGTAACTAACAAAACAATATAAATTGTGTGGTCATAAGAGATGAAGCCACTTAATTATATTTAAGTATCTGGCATAAACTTGTGGGTACAATACTGAAACAGAAATGAACTTTGAGGCTTCTACATTTCTACTGTAAATGAATTTAACAATCTATGTCTGATAGTTTCAACATACACTCAATCACTTGGCACTGCCAATATCCTCCTGTCCGAATGACATACATTTTATGCACAAAGATTTACACCAAATTGAAAGAAGATGTAGCAGAAGATGAACCAGACATTTATTGGGCTCGGTTTGACTTTCATAAGCTCTAGTTTTCACTCTCTACTATCAAGGTTTTGTTTTGTGCTGATCTCGTCTAGGATTTTTTTTTTGGCAGGCAGGTTGTTCTGATTTACCACACATCCATTTCAGTTGTTTCCTCCAGGGGTAAGGTGCCCACTGATTAAAGTAAGAGTTTATTGAAGCACCTAACCTTTTCAGTCATGTCTCAACCCTGTTACTGCCGAAAATCGTCGGCTCCTATAATCAAGTTATTATGTGTGGTACTTCTTAATACTTTGTTTGTCATCCTAGTAGTTTTTTACCTTTTTTATGTGGATTCCAAATTACTGGGAACCTTGACTAGACTGTCAGACATAGCTTTGTGGTGACAGGTTTGATGCAATTGGGAACTATGCAGCAAATGACAAGTGATATAAAATTTGGTGCATTAGTCACACTGGCATTCTCCACCATAGATTATTTATAGATCTTGGGATGAATTGTTGAGTGTTATGCTGGCTTGTATAAAAATTGTGTCTGTGTGTGTGTGTGTGAGAGATGTTGAGTGTGATGATTGCAGCCTTCTCCTAGCCTGATTTTTCGTTTTGAATCATAGAATCCCTACTGTGTGGAAACAGGCCCTTCAGCCCGACAAGTCCACACTGACCCTCGGAGCATCCCACCCAGACCCATCCCCTATAACCCACCTGACCTACACATCCCTGAACACTGTGGGCAATTTAGCATGGCCAATCCACCTAGCATGCACATCTTTGGACCATGGGAGGAAACCGGAGCACCCGGAGGGAACCTACGCAGACATGGGGAGAATGTGCAAACTCCACACAGGCAGTCGCCTGAGGGTGGAATCAAACCTGGGTCCCTGGTGCTGAGAGGCAACAGTGCCAACCACTGTGCCCCCCAAGTTCTAGATGTGCCAGCAAGGGATATAGCATTTCAGTGTCTCCCCTTGGGATTGGGCAGGTTGCAGGTTGCAATTGAACTGCTATCCCAGTTACAACAGTGACCGGTTCCTATGAACTTGGAAGGTCAGTGCTTACCAGCTTGCAACCAACAAGCCATGATCACCATGTCAGGATAGGGAATTTGGTTATCTCCTTGGACAAAATAGCTGACGGTACAAGTGAGGGGATTCTGAACAGGTGGGCAAGCAGGAACTGGAATTGGGCTCGGGTCACCTGCGGTCAGTAGTTTCACTCGTACTCCTGCTGACTCCACAAAGACGAAAAACCAAAAATATCAGCTGCTTTTGCATCTAACTTCATAGTGGTTCTTGAAACAATACCTTTCTCTTTTTTTAAAAAAAAAAAAAAAGCTGCTTCTTGCCAAGGATGTATGGGGTCTGCCGACCTTCTAGAGTTGCCTTGGAGCCTCCAAGACATGACTGTGAACAATCAATAATAAAGTGGCAGAAAAAGCATGTTTTTTTTTTTTCTCTTTTTTTTTCTTTGAAAATGTGAAGGCATTGAGAAGAAAGATTGGCTTACAGTCTCATGTCTTCTGATTGGATAATGGAGACCCCTTTTCCAATTGGTAGGGGAAAGAGAGTGGGCAGTGATGAAGTCCTGTTGTCTACCAGTGGCAGGTGTGTTGAATTCAGGCACTTCAAGGCACATCCACAGAGTTGAAGACTTTTTACAGAAGCATCCAAGTTCCATACCCATGAAGACAGCCTCAATCGTGATCTTGGGTTCACATTGCACTACATATAAACTCACCATACTGTTTGGTATCTGTAAAATCTTCCTTACTGTCCTGTTTTGACACCATCGCCTTGATAACTTGTTTTGATCTCTCTACTGTAATTAGTTTGCATGGCTTTGGTTTACTTTGGTTAGACCCTCGGCATGCAACTTTTAAACCCATCGTTTTATCCCAGTTATTTGGTTTGTCTCCAGTACCACCTTATTTTCAATTTTTTTTTTTGTAATTCTCTCTTTGCCTCAATTAATCAGTATAAGTCATCCCTTCACTTGCTAGTCAGCTGTTGACACTTTACTCACACTTTGACACTTTTGATCACCTGCAGAGACTTATTGTTCAGCCCGTCGACACTCCACTCACCATTTGTGCGATTTTTGTGTTTTTTTTTCTTAAGATCTCTGTCTATAAATTCTGTGCCTGTGTGCTTCTCTTCACTCCACCTGACGAAGGAGCAGTGCTCTGAAAGTTTGTGATTTCAAATAACCCTGTTGGGCTATAACTTGGCATTGTGTGACTT